TCGTACTTATCGATTCGATCATTGAGGTATCAGCTACAAAAATATGGACTATTAGAGGGCAACCACCTTAATTGAGGATGAGAGAACCGCTCCTGGCCACTGAAAAGCGGGCGAAATTGAAAAATGAAATAGCATTGTTACATTTGTGTTAGTTTAGGCTTGCGTTAATTCAAGTCTTCGTTGTCCATGAAATTTATAATGCATCGAAGAAGCTGTTTGGCATAGTCGAATATCTGACCGATAATCCCTAAATTATTCCTTTCGTCTAAACATTTTTGCTAAAAACGGATCGAGTTCTTTTTTCAGCCAAACATTATTTCTTAAACCTGTAGGTTCAGCTCCTCGCACTCCTGTCCCACGCAAGGCACGGGCTACTTAAAACTAGTACATCACTGGAGGCTTTTATAATTGAAAGGGTAGATGGCGCTGAAGGGTCTATAAGTGAGGTGTTTTGTGCAATGGTTTCAGCGAAAACCCCGAATACAGTTCAAGCAGATGCGCTTGCGTATTTGTCCACACACACACACACATGCACAACCGCTCACTTTGTCCCAGAAACGCGACAGCCTTCTTCATCCACTTTTGGTATTATTCACTTTTTTGTTCATAACACATCGGATGGTGCGGTTAGCAGTTAGCTTAATTTACAGTCCAACTGCACCACAAATAGCAGACAAACTAGATTGGATTCTTGCAATTTGTGCTTAACACTACATGAAGCCACCGTTCTCTATTAAGGCGTAAACGGGGAAAAAATGCCAATCGATGTGGCCTAGCAAAAATTTTCTTAAGTATCCTTAATCAGGGAATGACCATAAATACTGAAATGGCGAACCTGCACTGCCAACTCTAACATTTTTGCATGTTTGGAAAAACCACTTAGTCCAAGTTTGGGCACAGTGAGATAGAAGAGACATCACGATGCTCGAAGACCTTCACACATAATCTGACATCACCACAGTATTAGGAGCAAACTTACGTCATTGTTGTTTTAAGAAGTGTAAATTGAACTGAGAAAATCACAAGTAATGTTAATTGGAAAAAAATAGTTTAAGTACGAAATTTGTGCTGCTTATTTTCGCCAGCTACCAAAAGGCAACGAGCGTCATAACAATGGCAAACGACAAGTCAAAACCTCCTGTGATATATTGGCATGTTGTTGAGAAGGATTACGACATTCCTCAAATAAACCTGACTCTGAAATACTAATGATAATAGGCTACTGTGTCATGACGTTGGTATCGGCCAAATTTTTAGGTTAAGATGACAATACTCACTTTTAGAATAATAAAATCCATGTTTTCTGGTATTCACTAGGTCCCGCTAGAGTTAGACATCGTCCATGCTATGGTCCATAAATGTCTACATGTGCAAATTCTCGCGGCGTTCGCAAATGAACAACGTCTACCACACGATAATAATGACTATATTGGGGGTGACCAGATGGTTGATTTTTCCGCGCACGTACTCCACACGCGCGCTGTTTGGACGAACCAATGAAAGTGGGGGTTGGTGCGCTGTTTCCCTCGCGCGTGCATGCTTACGAAACAGGTGCGTGAACACACACACGCACACACACATACAAATGCACACATGTTGCTTTCACCGATGCATTTCCGGGCGTACTAGTCGCAGCATCCTTGTGATTTCGTTGTTTCAGCAGTTGATTCAAAACCCGTCGACTTAGACGATGGAAGCAGTGACTAATCGAGTTCGGCCTAATTTCGGGCACCACTGTGGCCTCTGCGCTTTGCTAGGCTGCTTTACTTTTTGTTCGCGAAGCGCAGCGGGGTTATTACTTAATGCTTTCCAACTTCATAAACTTGAGGATTTTTGCGTTAGTTCACGGGTTTTATATACCTGACCCACGGCTCCAAGGTAATAGCCTTAACATAAAAATAAAAAATTTTAGGGAAATTCCCGCTTCAACTTCCTATGTGTTATGTAGGCAAGCTTTCTAGTTTTTCAAAAGTTGCAAAAATTGTGGTTCGATTTTTCACAGATTTTAAGTAGAAGGACATAATTTTATCGCCGGGGGATTTTGCTCGGGCATTAACCGGGGCTGCGAACCCCAAGATGTGGCAATTAACTCCGAGGCTCCCCATTGCATTGATTTGGGCAGAGTGGTCTGTGTAGACACTGACGCCTCATTTTCGGAGCTGAAAAACAGCCACGACATCACTGACATGATCTGAACCTAGCATTTCGACGATATGTCGAACTCTGCCGTCTAAGAGGGCTGAGCCAAGGAGAACGGCTAACAGCAAACGGACATTTGACGACGTTTAATCGAGGCCGCCTCGACACACTGACTTTAAGTGTTTTTTGGTAACAGATGTGGAATCAAGCAGGAGGTCTGGCGTGGCACATTTCCTCCTTTATGTAAAATACGTTTTCTCAATTTTTTCATGCATGTTTGCCTCGAGAACTTGGAAAGAAGGGATTTTGTTTGCACACAGCTATATTTAGGTTACTAGCATTTGTCTTAAAAAATACAAACTCCACCGATTTCATGAGAACGATTTCAACATAGTACTTAAAAAAGCCAGTAGACATTTTTCAGAAATGTTATCTAAAAGCCAGTGGCTTCAGCTGCTTTTAATTTAACCCACTTAAAACTTAACCTATCTGACCTCCACCGAAAGTGTTATATAATTCACTTTGCAACTGTCCGCATCATTTTTGAAGCTGATGGAACCTGGTTATCTCTGAATTTATTTATGCCTTCGGAAAACATTAGTATAATCAATGTATAAAAAACCCAAGAAACTTTTTTGATCGAAATAAGGGGCTGTTTCATGGCTGCCAAAACAGTGCTAAATGTTTAAGGATAATATCATTGGATTTCACCCAAATGTTTAACGGAACCATCATCCGAGAGTCTGTGGACTTCAAGACGATGCCCTTTTCATTAACACGAAACACACAACCTGCCAACAACGATGTGGTCTACCTTGACAACTTCGAAGTTGTCTGGGGCACTACCACAGCTTTCCAAATGCCGCCTAACAGTTCCGACAGTTAGTGTTGAGAAAAAACGCTTCAAGGTTGTGATGCTCTGGTTTACGAAAGCAAACCAACATTCCACATATTTAGGGGCTGACACACATGCACGCATCAACTGTTAGAAAAGTTTTCATTGCCAGTGACTGTGTTGGTGAATGCTTATTGAAGATTCAGTCCCTTTTATTTTGCTAAGGTTTAAACAGGCAATGAATGAGGTTAGAATTTTAAACACAGCCTTCAACAAGTTCACTTGATATTGTGCTTTAGTAACGGCGACCACGAGTCAAACAGTAGGAGATGCGGAGTATAGTTGTCTTTTCAGCATGTGCATTTGCATCGCTCTGCCAACTTCATTCTTCGGTCGTGTGATCCCTTGTTCAAGACAAGGTTTGACATTTTTAGTGTAGTCAGAGTTATCATCGTCGACACATATTGAATAAATTTAAGTTTGAACTAAGCACAATTTGTATTTTGCATTGCGTACATATTCAAAATACGAGATCGTGTAAGGACTATTGCTATGTTGACTTTTTTCCTTCCAATGGGCCACAGATGCTGCTCCGCTCTTTTCCTTTCTTACAGACGTATAAGAGCCGTTTATTTCCTATTTTATATGGCTTTGGTTTTCGCTCGATTTGATGTGATGTCAACATCTTTCAGTTATCTTAGATTTGCCCGAGTTTGTGCGGGTAAAGGCCTTAGGTTTGTGTAATTTCTTAATTAGTCCTGCTTAAATTACTTAGGTGCCTCTTTTAAGTGGAATCCTTAATATGTGAATTGTAAATTCCACCTAAATCAAAGTGAACTTCCACAGGAGCGACCGCCAACAACCAGGCTTATCTTGTCTCTTCTTCACATGTTTCGGCACACTTCTAATGTAGAAGCTGCTAGCAGAAAATCCTAGTACAATAAACAGACTCTCGTTGACCCTTTACGGTAACATCATTACCACTAACCCCCTATACATATTCACTAGCCAGAACGACCAACAAAAAAGGTGTTGGGGAAGCCCATGGAGCCGTGTAGCTCTCCTATTCCTAGTCTTCCTACTCTCCTCGGGGTATATGCCCACCCAGCTCAATTCAACCTCAACAGCGCTTTAAGGGAAGTCATTGTTGTGATGCAATAGTTAAAAATTGGTATATATTCGGTTATGCCAGTGCAAACGACCAAAGGCATTTGTCTTACGTACATCTTCGTTTATGAATAGCTAATAAGCTCAGCCCCGTTTAACGCCATCGCAAAATTGTTCGAATTCATCGAAATGCGGGTTAATACTAGCAAAATCTGGATATGTGAGTCATTTCAAACTCACTCTGTGGACCAGTTGATGTGTCGAGAATGGCCTTGGAGCCTCATAGAGTGGTATTTCCATACCAAATAATGAGGACGACATTAAAAAATTTTGATGGATAGCAAGCATCATTCGAAGGCCCTAAGTTGACTGAGCATCATTTGCAGCAGTACAAATCAAGGTCACTTTCAAAAGCCCAGGCTAGTCAACGAATAACCTAGAAGGATTCTGCAAAGCAGCTTCATCTAAAAGATTTTGCTCAAAGTTGGCTAAACGAGCACAAACACAACAGCTGATAATCTGTGCCTGAAAACTCAGCGAAGTGGGATCGTGCCGTTTAAGAGTGATTTGTTGTCACTTAATCAAGCACTTTGTAGTACATAGTGTAGCTCATAACCACCAGAAAAAAAATTACTTGATAGCAAGACTCCAAAGTCAATCGTCGAAATGTACGCTTTTAAACCCATGAAAATGATAGTCCCCGGATTTTTTAAATTCCCAGCAAAATGTGCACCCCCCACATAGGCCCCAGGACCCTTGACCGTTCTGATGCTTAAATCTTCAATCAGTGAGGATTACCATAAATTATAAAATTGTTGACAAGGGTGCCAATCTGGGCGCTGTAAGTGGAGTTCTTGTATTTGTGAGGAAGAATATAAGAGCCAAATATAAAATTACTGTCACCACCTTTCCATCGTGATTACCATAGCTGGGTTTTGCGTCGTTGGCTCGGAAAGGGTGCACGATTCGAATTAAATCCAGACGCCACTTTCATAAGTTCCTCAACTGACATATTCATTTTAGCAGCCTCTTCACGCAGTGTGGCAGCATACGCTTCCTCAGCCCGACGTCTGGCGACCTTTTCGGAGTGAATGGAGGCTTCTGCTGACACCGCGGGGCGGCAGTCGTCTTCAAGGTTTTGGCGTTCCTCTCTGGTCGTAGGCTTTTTCACTTGGGACTTGGCTGCTTCGATGTTGCGCAGCAACTCCTCGCGCCTCGCCTCTCTCTCCTCCCTTATCTCCCTCAGCGCCTTGAGGCGGCATTCAATGTGCTCGCGGTATGTTGACAAAACCTAAATCAAAAGTGAAACAAAAGTAGCTGTTTTGCGATTGAACACACAGACTTGGCTAGTACACCTCCCTGGAGGGGTGTAAATGTCTGTGAACAGCCACAACTGTACACGACCAGCCTCAGCGATTCAGCGACTTGAATTGGTCTTCTAATTTCAGACGAGCTTTAAGGTCGCATAGCAGTGCAACAGCATCAGCAGTTTGGTTCCTCCGGTGTGGGTGCAAGGCTTTCAATGTCTAGCAGTTGTTTTTTTTCCAATTGTGAACTGCGTGACGTGATCGTGAATAACAATTCGCAGCGCATAATGACAATGTAACGATCTGGCTTACTAAGCAGAGGCAAAGGGTAATTTAAAGCTGATTAGGGGCAGCAGATAACATAAAAAGAATGAGCTTCTTACATTACACAAAAGTCGTTGACGAGCTTCTTCCTCTATTTTCCATTCCTGTTCCCGCTTCTTCCATAGTTCTGCGGCCTCGGAACTGTCGGTTAAAATGATGTTGGTGTTTTGTGAAGGTCACAGCAAATACAATTAACCAAATTCATTCAGTTTTCTTAGGACTAACATAGGACGGTGCACTTTTAATGTGTGATAACGGTCGTTTGTGGAGCAATTTTTTTAATGAAAGCCTTGTATTTGCCTAAACTGCTTGAGCCTTAATTAAAAATGAAAATATTTGGGTTTAAAACATCAAAGCCAGATTGCGAATGCACCTAATCATTTCCTGTTGGGTAAACCTAGGGACGGTCGGCAATTTCCAATTTCCGAAAATTTATTATACGTTCAACAAAAACAAAGGGTCGGAAGTGAATTTCTAACGAGGCGCTGAAAATAAGTAGTAGTAAGTAGTAAGTAGTACGTAGTAGTAGTAAGTAAGTAAGTAAGTAAGTAGTACGTAGTAAGTAGTAAGTAGTAGTAGTAGCAGTAGTAGTAGTAGTAGTAAGTAGTAGGAAGCGCTGTAGTGTGTGCGATTGTAAACTATAAAAACTATCTAGTCAAAAGTAATAAACACGATGTTAGGGGGTAACAAATGAATTCACATATGTACTTTTAAAGATAAGACCAATAGAAATCACTGAAGCCACTTGCAGTCAAAAGGCATGGTTTCTTTTAAATCACCTTTGATATCCTCATGAAGCAACAGAAACCAGGAATTCAAATTGAGGGTTGTGTGACCACGATTTAGTTCAAGCGCAACTCACACAAGTGCAAATCCAAGCTACACAACGTATCTCTTCGCTAACACTCGGAAAAAGAAAAAAAGGCTAACTGAAAGCTACATAATTTAAATTAAGACTACGGCAGCCAACTGGATGTTAGTAAATGCTTGGTAAGTTCAGATAGACAAAAACTCACGCGAGCATCTCATCCATATAAGCTTCTCGACGTGTCTCACGACGCAAGTCCTCTTCTAGCATCGTCCTGACTTCTGTGAGTTGTTTCCCAATTTCATCATTTTCATTAGGTCCCGATACCCGTTGGCCATCTCCCGCCTCCTCTTCCGAACCCTGGAGGCGGGAAAGCCAAGTTAGATCCCGGGTCAAGTCGTTCCTAATCTGTTGAGAACGTCGTTTTAGGGCAGCAGTTTGCTGGCGCAAGAGAACCTTTTCATAATGTCGCTGGCACCGAGAATCGTCTATCTCTTGCCTTTCAGCTGCCACTTGTTCAAGACGCTTCTGATCGTCAATAACCTTCTTCTGTATCAATTCAAATTCATGTTCCTATATTCGTAATTTGAGAAAACGTTACACTATAAAGACCAAATGAGGACAGAATAAGGATACTCAAAAAGTGCGTATTTCCTTCATGCTTGTTATGAACTAAGTCTTGAATTTAGCACAATCATGCTCTAAGAACTAGCTTAAATGCGAAGATAAAACATGTAGGTGTTGCTTATGGTCACCGCAAACACGTACATAGCCTAGATTTTAATTAGGTTATTCAGCCCTCTAAAACGTGTCGGAAGCAGGTTTTATAGGTTCCAGTTTTGTTAAAGTACCAGTCTGACAGGAGTTCGCCACATAGGCCTCAGTTTTCTGGAAGATCATGTTGCTAATAAGCCATGTAGCTGCTAAACCATTACCTATGTCCTCTTGATACAGCGCATTGTATTTCACGCATTTGTATGATAATTACTACCTACAAGATTGATCTTCCCATGTAGACAGTGCGTTTGGCATAAATTATTACCGAAAATTGCATTTAAATTTCTTCCCCTCAGCTTGATTTTATATGTACAGTTAGACAAATAAACATAGAAAGTGGAAAAAGGCCGTGAAGAGACTTGAGCCTGGGTCCCCCGCAAATTTTGCTCACCGTTCTGAGCCCACTCTCTTACCAAACGTGTTTAGACATTGGCAGATAAACTGAAAATTAAACTTTCTCCTAAATCATGGCTTGAACCCCGCCGGGCCACCATGCTGTGTTGGAATGACTAAAGGTCCAAGATACCTGGAAAGACTAAGAAGACGTGAGATGGAAGGGACAACCTTTTATTAGTTGACCCAATCACGTTGAATGTCGCGCCACTGCGTGAAAAAAATCGTGTGTAACAAATGAGATTGGGTGACTTAGTAGAAGTACAAACTAATGAGTGTCCTGATGAGTAGAGTGAGTAGGAGGGGAGGTATGCGAATAGGAGTGGATGCTCAGACGTGTCTGCATGATTGATGATTACTTTGTGAAGGGGGAGTCAGTGTGTCAGAAAGTGCTGCAACTGCTGATGGACATGAATCAACACTCTTTACCACATGGCCATCTGTCATATTGGTACTTAGAGAAACTATCTAATTAAAAAAATTGAGACTGATCAAAACCTGATTGCAATAATGTTTATAGTCCTCTTGATAGTTTTACTGATGACTACTGAATACCTAAGATCACAAGGTCATGGGTTAGAGAAGATCGAAGTACCTCCGCTTCAAGCCGCTCCAGTTCGTCAAGATTCTGCTGCAAAACGAGACTTTGTTCAGTAGGTTCATCGATTTTATGGCTTTTTTGTTCTTTGGTGCCCCGGTCAGCCTCGTTTAGATCCGACTCCGATTTGGTCGGATATAGTTCCTCTTTGGCCGGTCTCTAAAATAAACAACAATTTTAAAATAAAATCAAATTTTACTTTAGCTGGTTTATTTAATTACTCAAAGAAAGGTGCGACGGCAATCAGATAAAATAGGAGCAAAACACCCTGTTGCACTGAAATAGTCTGGAAATAACTGGTAATAATGAAACTACTGAACCCCATTACATCGATCAAAAATATGCAAAATGTTTACTTTTGCGAAAGGGAATCATAAAGTAAAACACCTAATCAGAAGTCAAGCTACGTCGAGAGCATTAGAATGCTCATTTACACAATTTACATCGTTAACCGTGATATGGCATCTGATTTTATGCTCAGTTAGATGTTGTCACTTCGTAAAAACACTTTATTCTTATCTGGAACTCCTTGAAATGTGCTTAAATAATTGAAGCTCGTGAAAAGTCATTCCTAAATAAAAAAAAACAGCAACCGCTCGAATGCTTTAGATACTTCATTACATTAAAGCATATGCATTTTCCGAAGGGAATGGCGCCATGTCTTGTATCTACTTTCTTTTGGCACTTTCATGTTAATGTAAATTTTAACCAAAGAAAGTGTCCACGAAATAATACAGAATAAAATTACAGTTTGGGTCAGGTTCCTAAGATTTCTACAAACTTTAAACTCGTTAGAAACAACTATTGGTGTTATAAGAATCAAACAACTGAATCGACCAAATTAGGCGTTTCTGAAATTGAATTGCTAATTTGTCAATCTGTAGCCAAAACAGATTGGAAGCTTAAATTAGACAATTAATACAATCCTGTCAGCACAACCAACATACATTGTTACAAGCATCCCATGAGCCAGAATCCTGATATTTAGGGCTCCACTGTTGCGTTTCCTGCCAATCATAATTCCCTTTATCAGGTTTAAACCCGATTAAAGTGTTTTCTTGCTATCAATTAGTATAGATGAAATGAAGGAATACTTCTGAATTCGATGGTTCACCTTTGCATACCAACCTGTGAAGATGATCATATTGATTACTCCCATTAAAACTCGTCGATTCGTTTAATTGATGTATTGAACGCTTAAAAAGCAATTGGTAAGTTTGATTAATGACTACCTCGTAAAAATCAGCTTCTTTCTTAAAAAGAGCTCTAAGTTTGTTTCTTCTGTCATCCAAGTGACTTAAAATTTCTTCCTTGTCAGGTTGTAGATATGCTAGAATGCTACGATATAATGGACACTAAAGCCGTTATAACTAATACCTGTTGTTAAATGAGTCTTCCGAAGTCCATCGCTTTTCCTGACGAGCTCTGACGTCAGAATCCTGGAAAAACTTCTTGTTTTCCATCATTTCAGACTGCCTTCTGGCCTCAGCCACTCTTTGTTTGTGCATGACTGCCTCATAAATGTTCTTGGTTCTGATGTTGGGCATCATTTTGATATGTTTAAAGAACCGCCTTGTTGTTACCAAGATTACTTGTACACACTAGCATAAAGTCAACAATAAGTTATAAGATCCATTTAGCGACTGCAAAAATAGTTAGGATTAGGAAATTGATAAAAGGGAAAATTACGACTATTATTTTGTATAATATTTCAAGGACTATTTGCTGAAAATATTATCCAAATTCTGATTTTTTACATTCTGCGTAAACGCATGTTTTAGTTTATTGGTGGTTTATTTTGCCACTTTAATAATTTACAAACGCTATGAGACTTTTCACACTTTTCCTAACAATGCTGGGCTTCAAAAAATACAACAGAGTATCTCAGATATAAAGTCCGATGCATTTCCTCACATTCGGAGTTTAAATCTTAACTATTTGTATTATCTTTCTGGCCATCAAAATAATAATTCTCCGTTTAATTTAATATTTAATTTTTATCCTCTATGAGGAAACACAATGACCAATGTCAAAAAAGCTTTAAATATCTTATCAAAATTACCTCGTACGTTGCTGAGTTTACACTCGATCACTTTGATTTTATGGAAATGATTAGTCGCAAAACCAAGATTCCATAGCATTCTTTTGCACTCCAAATTTCTTGGCCTGAAAATTTCCTGATAGCAAGCTCTACGAAATAATTTGATCTTTGGCAAGCGTGTTTGGGAAAAACCCCTATTAGGCGCACGAAACCTTTGTTTATTTCTTGTTCAAGTTAGTTCATTCAAGTATCAATATTAAAGGCCTGATCTGGGAGATAAACTGTTGTTGTTACTTGTAGGGCAATTTTATGAAAATGGAACAAATTATTCTCGAACCACCAAAGTGCTATTCATATCTCACATTTTACAATCGCTACCAAATGTCCATAATAATATCGTTCGCCAATTTAGTCTACCAAAAATGGAAATTCTTGACTATCATCCTTTCTTGTAGATGTGTCTATTATTAATCCTTTAGATCGTGTATAGCAAACCCAAATTAGGAACAACAGAAAAGACCTCAGTAACGTATCACAAGCCAGAGCATTTCATCGGGCCTTGCCCATCCAATTCCACCATCATGACTGCGTCGTTCTTACTATTAGACTAATAATCAATTCTTGTCTCTGGTTGTCTGCTGATCATCCCTGTAAGCCATTCTGATTTTTTAAAATCAGATGATAGGCTAACGTTTACCTGACTTGATATAGCTGTTCTAGAATACCAGTGCCCAAGTATAAAAATGACCGGTAAAACAGAATAGGCTTTATCTGCCAATTGGGAGCCAGAACGTCATTTTAGGTGCCGTCCATGAGATTCCCCCACCCTAACTGCGCAGCTCAGTATACACTGCTTTTGTAGAATACTCGATCCTTTAATATGAACAAGACTGGCTCAAAATGCAAGGTTTTATTGACAAGTTATAAGCCAGAACTAAACTTCAGGCGCCAACTGTCTTCGATACTGTAGAATACCCGAGCTCTAGTAAGAAACAGACTGGTACAACAGAACAGGCTTTTGGAACCAATCACAAAACAGAACCAAACACCAGGCAACGACCATTCGAGTATACCCCGATGGCCGCGGCGCTCACCGTATACCGATTCTCATACTTGGCTTAGGCTATCGTTGTTCAACATGTCTGCGTGATTATACATCCCCACACTACACTATACTATGCCTGGGGATGATGAGAAGGTGTATTGATTATTAAACGGGTTTATTGATACAAACACAGATCTGGGACTCCAGTATACAGAAATAGTTCACAATGGTCAAGGGGTATGCATGTATAGTCGGTCCTGGTTGCTCGTGTCAGCCCATTGGTTTCTAGAAATAGAAGGGCAAACTCATGAGGTGATTGGATGCTCGGACATTGGCGTACTATTCGAAAACTCGCTGCCCACGCAACCGCAGATAAGGCTGAAGCGGCGTATTAGGGCACAGACCTAATGGACCACGCTGACCTAAGCCAATACCCTGTCTCTTTGTGTTCCAATGGAATGCCAGGAAGACAGGCAGCCAACCAGAGCCGGGCACGAATGAGGAGCAGTATACAATGAGCGATGTGTCATATTTTCCCCACATGCCAATAAAACGCATAGAGACAGAGGATTAGCTGGAGCCAGCGTGGTCCATTATGTCTGAGCCCTTATACGTCGCTGGTGTGGGATACCCCAGCCCTAATAGGAAAAAGACCGGTACAACAGAACAGGTTTTACTGACTAATTACAAGCCAGAGACACACGTCAGGCGCTCTCCATCCGAGCCCACCACACTGGCCACGCCGCCCATTATATACTGCACCTCAATCGTGTCCTTCTCTGGTTGGCTGCTCATCATTCTCGCATGCCATTGGAACGCAGAGAGACAGAGGATTGGCTGAGGCCATGTGATCCAATGTGTCTGCGCTCTGACCCTTCGCCAAACTAAACAGCAATGCAGAATACCCGAGGAATTGTATGAAGAAGACTGGCACAACAAATCAGGCTTTATTGACTAATAACAAGCCAGAACCACGCGTTAGACGCCGCCTATTCAGGTCCACTAAGTTGGCCACGCCGCTCAATTTATGTGTACTGTAGCGTCGGATTAGGGCGCAGACATGTTGGACCACCTGGCCTCAGCCAATCCCATGTCTCTCTGCGATCCAATGGCATGCGG